AAAATTATGTAACTATGTAACTATATCGCTATAACTATATCCATATAAATAAATCAGGAATTGACCACTCAAGGGCACAGTCTCTCCAACTGGCACTGCCACCACGTCTTCCCACCCCAGCGTTTTTTTCTCACATCACCCTGCCCCTGCCATTTCAGGCAGATCAGTGAGCTCTATGGGTCAGCTGAGATAGGGGTCCGGGCACTCCAAGTGACTTAGTAAAGCCATAAAATGAGCTCCCTTTTGCCTCTCCAGCCTAGGGGTGGTAGCAGTAGTGGTCTCCCCCAATTAGAGGTCTCTGGGTCACCACACTGTCTATTTTACTTCTCCAGCCCTCCTAAGATTTTTGCACCCAAAAGAATATATGGAACTCACTCTTTGAACTCCTAGAATGTGAGGGGAGATGACATGAGCCACTTCCAGAGCAAAGTCTTCAGAAGCAGGTGTGTTTTCTCTATTCTCTCTTACCCTTCTCATTGTCTGGAGACCGTTGGGGGTAGGAGAACCATCAAAGCAGAAGGAGGCTGGGTCCCAAATCTGATAAGGAGAGTCACCTAGCAACTGACACCACCCCTCGATTGTATGTAACAAGAAATAAACTTCTATTGCATTTGAATTATTGAATGTTTGGAGCTATTTGTTATAGCTGTTTACCCTTTGCCCTCAACCTGCACCTTAACAGCCATTATTTATATATTTATGTGACCAGAGCGCTGACTAGTGCCAGCCACTCTGTTGAGCTTATCCTGGCAGAGTGCTCAGCCATTTTCAGAATAGGGGCCTGACCTGCGGGTTCTGAGGTTACACAGCTCATCAGAAGGTTGTCTGGCCGGAAAGCCTCTGCTACCCCATGTTCCTTCTAATGCTCGTCTCTTCCCCCTCCTTAGCCACTTTTCCCCTTTCTATGTCTTGCAGCCAAAGTTCCTATGTGGATATACAGGTATAGATATTCCCTTCTGGTCTGTTCTCTGTTGCCTTCACTCTCTACCTCTCTATGCGGCTATCAGCTGGGCTTTTTTTGTCCTTGGTTTCCAATGGTTTTGGCCAATGGGAGAGATAAGTAGGAGAATGGTGCATGGGAATAGAAAGAGGTTGAGGTATTTATTCCAAGATGCAGAAAGGCAAGGTAGCTTGCCTGTGGTCACATAGCTGGTGCAAGAGCTGAGGCGCAAACCCAGGCAAGCTGGCCCCAGAATCTATGCTCTTAACCCACTGCATTATGTAGCTTCTCTGTCAGGAAGAAGGGGATGGAGGCAGGGCAGGCAAAACACTCGCTTCCCTGCAGTTACTGCTCCAGGGAGGACTATGAGTAACTTTCATTCTCTCAGTATTGTTTTTTAGCCACCATGTATTAACAAGCCAAAAAAAAAAAAAAAAAAAAAAAAGAATTGTATCAAACTAAAAAGCAAAAATAAATCCTGTTTAGCCAATGGGGAAAAGGAAGGAGCCCAGTGCTGGTGAGCTCACTTTCTCCCAGCCACAAAGGAGACTGAGAAATAGCTAGGACCCAGGGGAATTCCAGCTGTCACCAGGCTGCACTAGCCAAGGCTGAGGAAACCCAGGGAGTCCAAAAGGCATTATCCATCATACAGGCGCTGTTCTGGACTGACAAGGGGGAGGAATGCTAACACTTCGGTGAAGCAGTGAATGGCCACTGCCTGCACACCTCAACTCTGCTCTCATCCAACCCTGAGGGCCCCCCCACCTCCTGCTCAATCCACTCTTCCTCTTCCATGCCACCTGCTATGCCTGTCTCGTTCTGTAGGGCCAACAAGATCAATACTGTGGCACAGGGGTACCAAGTCTGAGAATAGCAAGGCCACAACATAGCTTCAGAACTTAAGCCACATTAGCTGCAGAACAATGGCAGCCCTCAATCAGTTCCAGACACTGCCCTTCCTAGGCACACAGGTCAGTATGTGGTTAAGGGTGTGGGTCCTGGAGTCAGATGTAGGTTGGAATCCCAATTCTGTTCTAAAATGCTGTGGGTAAATAGGCGAATTACCTAATCTCTCTGAACCTCCATCCTCTGCAGTGAAATAAAGTAATGCATAACAGGGCTGAAATTCAGCTTCTATGCACTTTCAGCTGGACTTGTTTTTCAATACAACTTTATTGGTAAATCAACAGCAGAGGTCCCTACCACTCTGTTTTTTCTCATGCCTGCTCTCCTATACCCAGTGGGTCTCTAGACAGCATAGACACTACTGATAACTTGATCTAGCACCCAAAGAGCAGAATCCAGATCAGAGTCTCAATTATGAGCAGGGGGAGATGAGTTTTGATGGGCAGTTCAGGGACAGTCAGAGGACCCTAAGTTGAGTCATGGACAAGGCCACCTGAGTGGTCTTGCCTGCTTGAAGAGCCAGCCTAGGAGCAGTGTAGCCTGGTTTACCAACTGCCAGTTGCCTTCCTTCTCCTGCTTACCTGGGATTCCTGGATTCCACACCTGATTCCAGGGCTAGGGATGGGGATAGTGCAGGGTCACACGCTGGCCTTCTTTTTTTTTAAGGTTTATTTATGCATACAGAACTAGGGTACAGGCCAGAGGTATAGGGGTGGTGAGAGTCTTCACCAGAGATAGAATGGGGAGCAGAACAGACAAATCTCTGAAGTACACTGCTGAGGGGAGCAGCGGGCGGGTCAGGAGAGGTCTGCCCACACCATGTGGATCACCTCTGGGGCAGGGATCGAATTGGTGCTGAAGTGGCTTTAGCTTCCTAGTGCTGTGCTTTAACCCGCTGCGCCACCAGGGAGGGCCCATGCTGGCCTTCTTGCAGCTTCTCCCTGCTTTCAGCACTACCAGCTCTACTGCAGCTCTTGGAATCTCATGTCTTGTTTGCCTGAGAGACAGAGAAGAAGCCTCCAGGAGTCTGGGCTTTGCCTGTGTAATGTCTCTGGCATCAGAAAAGAATATTCCAATTCAAAGTCTCTCCTCTAAAGCTCTTGAATCTTAAAGAGAGACAGTGTTATGGTTTGGCTAGGGCCAGACTACCTGGCTTCAAATCCCAGTTGTACCATTTTATAAACATGGGTAAGTCAGTTAGCTGCTCTGTGCCTCAATTTCCTCATCTGTGAAGAGAGGGTAATTCTCTGCCTTGCAGTGTTTTATGAGAAATAAATGAGGTAAGCTGTAAGGAGTGTCAGGTTCGAGTCTAGGACAATGTAAGCTCTCAATGTGAGCTCGTGAGGGAGCTCACAAGTGTAGTGCAACAGTCAGATTCATGTCCACATGATTGTCTGGAGTGACAATCTTCTTTACTCTAGTGGTTGAAATTCTTCCCCTGCTGCCCTGGCCCTCCTGTATCAGTGCCTACATTTCACAGGCTGAGCGGCCGAGAGAAGGGGCTCTCCCATGGTCAGATGTGGTGTCAGTTGGCAGAGTCTCAGTTTAGAGTTTCAGACACCACTTCCAGCATCCCGTGCTATCTCTGTCCACTTCCTCATGTCCTGGATTATGGTTGTCCGTAGGCAGGGTTGAGCTCTTGCACATCTCTGGATCCCCTAGGCCCAGAGCACAGAAGGTGACTGTGTCAGGCACTCAAACACCTGCCTCCTGTGAGTCACCTACCAAAGAGGTCAGTGAGCTCTGCTCACTAGAGCGCAAGGTACTGATGTCTTGGGTGCCAGAGAGAAGGCACAGCCTACAGCTGGGAGAATGGGACATAAAACAGCTCCCAGAAGACATGAAACCGTTTACAATGAAAAAGAGAAGTCCACTGATTCCTCCCAACAAGCTGGGCCCCGGAATTTCTGGGACCAGCAGGAGCCTGTTTCCACTCTTGGCAGGTGGGTCCTCACTCCCATTGCCCTGCCCACCTCAGCATTTGCTCCTCGGGGAGAAATGCGACTCTTCCCTTACCTCCAGCACCCCCCGCTCCCCCAACTCCTTTTTGGGATCAGGGTCCTGTTGGATCATAGCCAGCAGCCTGGCCCCACTTTTGAGAGATACCTAGAAGTTCCCTGGCCCCGCCCCCTTGTTCGTGGTCCAGCCAGAAGCTCTCAGTTCCCCATTCGCCCCAGTTTGAAGCAAAAGGTTCCTTCCCACCTCCTTCAGTCTCAGCTGCCGGTGTAGGGGAGGGTGTGGCCGTGTCAGCTTTGGGGAGACCCCCAAGGGCGGCAGAGGGTGGGGGGAGGTGTTCCTTGGGCCCTGAAACCTTCCAGACCATTTCAGTGTAAACCGCCTGGGGTTTGTGTCAACATCCGAGGCCGGAGACTGGCGGCGGCTGGGACAGGCTCTGTCTACCGACGGGAAGACAGGAGGTTTGGAATGGAGGGGTCCTTGGGGGAGACCTCAGAAGCCTCTTGGGATCCGTGAGAGAAAAAAGGAAGACCTATGTGTGAAGGGATGGGCATTAAGGGCTGTAGGAGCCTCCTTACGACTAGCTGTGCGCTTGGGTACTTCGCCAAGCTTAGCGCTGTCTGCACCCACCCGCCCTTCTTTCTATTCCACCGCGTGAGGGGAGTGGGTGTCTTGGGGTGGGGAGGGGGCTGAGGCGTGGGCTGCTTGACCGCTCCGCTCTGTCTCTTCTCCGCTAGGCTACTCGGCAACTATTTGTCACCCTCCTCCAATTTCGGGTGGGATATGGGGGGGGGTCACATCTTGTGACTCAGCCCCTCTCCCATCCCCACCCCCGCTGAGGCCCAGGAAGGGGAAGCTTAGCGACTCGGCTGTGGCTCTCTCGTTTCCATAGCAACCGTGCGGTTGTTTTTGCGAATCACTTCAACTGTCGACACTCTTCACCCGGGACTGTGGCCTGCAGTCTGAGCCTCAGGGCGGAGGACAGCTAGCACGACGACCCTCTCCCTCCTCGCGACTCCGGGGAAGGTCAGCCGGGGCAGGCGGGCGCGCTCCTGCGGGGCCTCGCTGGCCACCCTGTCCCCACCTGAAACCCACCCTGCCTTTCCGTTCCCACGGAGCCAATCAACGCCCAGTCTGTCTGGGATGAGGCGGGGCTAATGCAAATCGTGTCGCCTCGGAAAGACACATAGTGATACAAGAGCAGGGAGGCGGCTTCGGCGCGGACCTCCGAGAGGCTGTCCACCAAGCCCGAGCCAGTCCCTGTCCCAGCGGCCCGCCGAGGCTCGGAACCATCCAGCGACCCGGCGAGCGGCCCCAGGTAACGCGGGGCAACATGGGGCAGAGGCCCTCGTCCCTCCCCCCACTTTCCACTCTCCATTCTCACCCTCTCCTGCTCCCTCCGATTTATCTCCCTGACCCCGGGTTCCACCATCGGTGGCAGCATCGGTTGGGCTCTCCCTTAGTTCAGGGACCCCCATCCCAGTACAGGCCCTACAGTCCCAGGGAAGGAGGCAGATATGCTTCCTTATCCCCAGTTCTGAACCCCCAAACACACGCACACTCACAAGTCTCTCTCTTCTCTCTTACCCGAATCCCTCCCACCCCCTCCACAGGTCCCATGTTTGTTCTTTTTCATCCTGGCTGGAGGATAAACCCAGAACACAACCTACCCAGCAGACTACCCATAACTTGTCACTCTCCCCTGCCAAGGTCCCAGCCTCCTCCACGCTCTCACTCATTCCTCACTCCTCTCTTGTTCTACCTCTCAAATGTCTTTCTAATTCACACCCTCTCTATTCATCTTGCACCCGGTCACTTGCTCTCTCCCATCTTCCTGCTGTTCTGCAGGGACCCCACCAAAGCTCCAGGTGGACTGTCACTCCTTTCTCTAAAGTGGCCTGAATTTGGAGGGCAGTGAACTTGGGTTCACTTTCTTCTTAATGCTTTATGAAATAGGGAAAGAGAGTAGGACACATGAAATGGGGAAGGGGGTGGATTAGATGAGGTGATCTGGAGCAGCCTTCCAGTGCACAGGTACCCTGGCACTGGGACTGATGATGACAAAACTCTTTCCCTGAGCCATTAGGGAACCATTTCAGAGAGAAGACCTGGGGGCTCAGTCCTCACCAAAGGGACATTGCTTCTTGCCCAGGTGGCTTAGGTACTGCCTCCCCTACTCTACACAGGCTCTTTCTCAGCCGTTAGGAGTCCCTCCTAGAACACCTGTCCACAAGGTGGAGATGGTCAACAGGATCCAAACTTTATTGTTTCCTGCCTCTCATCAAGGAGGGGGGAAGATCTGGTGCTGCCGCTATGGCTGGTGGCTGCTGCTAGAAGAGCAAAATGGGGAGAGGAAAGAGAGAAAATCTGACCAGGGAGCTGTTGTCACCATGGCAACTGTCTCAGCACCAGCTCCTCTGAAGCTGGGTGAGAGTGTGGGATTATTGCCTTTCTCAGTCTCTCCTATCCTCATTGCCACATCCCCATTTAAAGCCCGCAGGCCTGAACTCTGCCCCCTGGAAGAAGCCTCTGAGCAGTGGCTTTGTGTAGGGGCACTACCGGCTCCTTCATGGCTAGAGGGCAGCCCTCAAGATGTTGTAGAGGAGCCCGCCCATGGCCAGCAGGACCAGATCCAACTGACCGTGCCCCTAGTGGGTCCGGACCTAGATACTGATGAGCTCTAGTTGACCTTGGGTGAGCCCTTCTGTTCCCTGGGTCTGGGTTCCCTTATCTCTGGAGCAGGTACACTGGCAGGATAATGCAGACAAGATCGCCTGATGCTGTTCCAAGGAGAACGAAGGGGCTCTGTCCCTCTCATGTAATCCACCAAGACAATCATGGAGATAATCACTGAACTGTGTTTAGACATGCTTTTGGGTCTTTGCACAGGGCTGTTTTGTGTACCCTAGAGAACTTTTTCTGGCTCAGACAACAGCTTAATGCAAAAGCCTCTTCCAAATCAGGGTCTGTTCTAGAACTCTAGAGTACCAGGTGAGGGTAAGAGAGTTCTGGAGTCTATTTACTTGTAGGGGGTTCAAGTTCATGACCTTGAAGGCTCTACTCATGCCCAAAATGCTGAATGTATGCTGCCGACTGCCCACTGTCCAGACTAAGAGGGGCTGGTCATAAGGGAGTGGGCTTTGGTCAGGCCCAAAGGCATATTAGAGCTGCGTCATCCCAATGGAGAAGAAGAGACATGAGGGGAGAGGAAGACAGCTAAACAAATAAGTGATGTAGTCTGACTATGAGAAGACTAACTTGAAAGGAGTGTGTCATTGTGAGGGGGTGTGGGAGATGAGGCTAGACAGGTAGGCACTTGACACACTATTGTCGAGTTTTTGGAGTTTGAGGGGGCTCGTGGGCATGACTATCTCCATCCTATATTGAGCTTCTGGGCAAAACCAGGGGAGATATTCCCTGTGAACAGAGGAATCAGAACAAAGGCCCTCTCAGAGAGACAACTGAACCCACAGACGTGGCTCAGCAACACGTGCCCCAGTCCCAGAGTTTAGCCCCCTTGACCATGACCTTGGCCTTGACTGGGTGGGAGAAAGAGGACATGGTTAAAGTTCCAGGGGCATTTCTAAAGAAGGACCAACAGGGCTTGGTGGCAAGTTGAGCCTAGGGAAAAGGGAGAGGGGAAGCCCGAAAGTAAGATTGAATTCTGCCCCCTCCATGAGGAAGGAAAGATGGGGCAATGGAGAGAGAACCACCAGGGGCTGAGGGTGATTCTGGTTGTGGATGTGCTGAGTCAGAGATGCAGGGAGGCCACCTGGAGGGTTGGATGCTTCTCAATGATCTGGGTATTAGATAGTGGCTTGAAGCTCAGACACTATGGCCCCACTAAAGCCAAGAGGAAGGACTAGCCTGGGAAGCAGATAGGGAAGGAGAAAGTCTGTACCGGTCAGTAGAAAGATTTGGAGCAGGTTGTTCACGCCAGTGGCATGGAGGCAGCTTGGGTCTTCATCTAGACCCTCCTGCTGACCTGCTGTGTAACTCTGAACTTTTTTTCTGCTCTTTCTGGGTTCAAATGTTCACTAAAATAGCAGTGATCTTACAGGGCATTGCCAGCTTTGGCCTGTCAATCTAAGAGCAGTAGCAGGAACAAGGACAATGAAGGAACAGCCACAGCCCTGAGGGTTGGGGTTGGGGGGACTGGGACCAAGTGGGGGCTGAGAAGAGGTATGGCCACCGGAGTCTGGGAATGGCGGAAATTGCACAGGGAAGGAGAAAAGGAGCAGAAAGTGAGGGCCACACAGACGCTATGACGCACACACACACGGATGCATCTGACAGAATGCAGTATCCTCCACTGACGTGCTCCCACATACACCAGCCTCTTCTGAGACACTCAGGCGCACCACACAGGAGACAGTGGGAGAGGCTCTGCCTCCCACATGAGAAACCGCCTCCTCCAGCTTCGCTAGCTTCCTTGACTATCCCTGAGCCTCCGGGACCCTCTGTATTTGGGGAGGAGCAGCTGGAGACGGTGCCCACCATCTGCAGTAGGCCTAGAGCAGCTATTTGAACCCCACAGTTCCAGGTTCCTGAAGAGTGTCCAGGGAGGAATCTGAATTACAGAGATATCCCACAACAAGCTTGAGGTCACACAGCACGGGGAGGGATGTGGAAAAAACAGTCTCAGATCTGATTGTTTAGAATGCTCCGAGCAGTAAGGACTGGAAGCCACTCTGGCATGGGGCTGTGGAGATGGAATTCTTTTTGCCAGCCTGAGGGCTTCCTTTCCCGGTGGATCTTCATGGCAGGTTACCTGGGGATAGTCTGTAGCCCTTCCAAAGAGACTCCAAGCAAGTCAAAGTCACCTTCCAGGCCGCATCCTAGGAAACTCCATGTTCTGAAAAGACATTTCTCCCACGGAGGTCTGACAGGAGTGCACACCCCTCCTTCAGGGCCTGGCAGGCCAGGCTTCCTGCAGAGAGCCTATACCTCCCTTTGCAAACAGTTCCCCTGGCACAGACCACTCAAGACACTCAAGTTCCAGCTGAACACTGACTTTGCTGTCCTCACACCTGCTTTACAGCAGGTGTGCATTCAGCTTCAAACCTGCACTCAGCTCCTCTGTCTCTGTCATGCCCACATCCAATCAGTACCAGGCCCTGCCAATGCCTCCTCCTAACATCTCTCAGCTGTCCTCATCTCTCACATCCCCATCCCCCCAAGGGTCCTCATCACCTCACACCTGACCTATGCAGCAGGCCCCTCTCTGCTGTTCCTCCTCAGGCTATCTTGCACACTGTAACCAGAGAAAAATTCTAAACCGCTTTCCTTCTCTCTGGGCCCCCAGCACCTAGTTTGTGACCTGCCATATGATAAGTATCCTGGAATGAAAGAGGGCATGGATGAATGCTGTCTTCCTGGCCCTTGTTTTAAAACCCCAGAATTTCTCTCCTCTACAGTAAAGGCCAAACTCCTGGCAGGGATTAAAGACCCTTTACAGTCAGACAGCTACCTCCTTGACTCAATGATGAATTAATTATTGAAGGTTGGTCTGTGTCTATTTTGTGGCCATCACTGGCACAGAGCCCAGCATGGTCAGCCTCAACTAATGCATAGAGAGTGGATGAATTAGTGAAAAGCAGAATGTAGCCAGGTCATCAGTTCTACCAGCTAAGCTTTCTATTTGTACAGAGGAAGGAGGGAGAGAAGCTTCTGGCTGGGGTGGTCCAGAAGGCCTTGAGAAAGAACGCAGAGGGACACATGAGGAACTAGTCCGGGGTCTCTAGTAAAAGAAGAGCCTTCTGGGCCAGGTGGGGCTGTGTGTGGAAAGATCTGAATAGCAAAGAGAGGATTAAGACTGATTCTGTGGATGTGAGGGCTCTGGACCTGTGCACTGGAGAGGAGACGATGAAGGTTGTGGCTTCAGCACTGGCATGCAGGTCAGTGGGAAGGAAAAGACCTGAGACCCAAGGCTGGAGATACTGGCCAACAAAGGAGGAATGCTGTGAAGACAGGGGCGGAGCCTGTGAAGACAGGGGTGCAGTGGAAGGGGCCCCTGTGAAGAAGGGAGGCCCTATGACACAACAGAAGTGGGGGGGAGAGACACCCTACCCCACCCCACCCTGAGTGTGTGTGGAGAGGACTGGCCCCCGTTGAGGGAAGATAAGGGAATAAGATAAGGGTGGGGAAAAGATGTGGCAGAGCTGGGAGCTCAGCTTCAGAAGGTGGGGCTTTTGGGGTGATCCTGAGGGGTACCCTGTAGGTTACATGAGGGACTTGTAATGGGAAGGGGCTGTTGCAGAGAAAGGGATTCCTGTTCCCAGAGGACTTGGGAGACGGCTGCTGGGGTAGGGGCCTTGCCCTGGACCTAGTCGAGGGAGCCCTGTCCTGCAGGCCCCGCCATGGGGAAGACCAGCAGCAAGCTGGCTCCAGAGGTGCTGGAGGACCTGGTTCAGAACACCGAGTTCAGCGAGCAGGAGCTGAAGCAGTGGTACAAGGGCTTCCTGAAGGACTGCCCCAGCGGCATCCTCAACCTGGAGGAGTTCCAGCAGCTCTACATCAAGGTGGCTGGGCCTGGCGAGGAGGGCGGGCAGGCGGGTGGAGCCCGCAGACAGCCAGGGCGGGGCGGGGCTGGGCACCCCAGGGGGCGGGCTGGCGAGCGGGGTTCGCAGAGAGCGGAGGGGGGAAAGGCTCGAGACGCGAAGCTGGAGGGACCGGCATCGCTGGGCGTCCCAGGAAGGGGCTGGGCGGACGGCAGGGGCAAGAGTTGGCACTGCGCCGCAACCTCCCGTGCCTCGGCCTGCCCCCAGTTCTTCCCCTACGGCGACGCCTCCAAGTTCGCGCAGCACGCTTTCCGCACCTTTGACAAGAACGGAGATGGCACCATCGACTTCCGGGAGTTCATCTGTGCCCTTTCGGTCACCTCCCGCGGCAGCTTCGAGCAGAAACTCAACTGGGCCTTTGAGATGTACGACCTGGATGGCGACGGGCGCATCACGCGCCTGGAGATGCTGGAGATCATAGAGGTGCGCTGCGGCTTTCCAGAGGGGGGTCGGCGCCTGGTCTTTGCTCCTGGGGCCTTCTCTGATCCCTCGGCTCAGGCCCCAGGACTGGTGCTGCACTGCGCCCTGTCCTGCATCCCAGCATCCAGGGGTCACTGCCTGCAGTGGCTGTAGTGTAAGAACGGCTTTGTGCTAAGTGATTTACCCAACAACCCTAGCGAGGAAGAACTTGAGAAGCGCCATTTTGCAGAAGAGGAAACTTAGCAAGTGGCCATTGAAATCCAGGGAGTCTGACTCCAGAGCCTAAGTTCTTAACGCAGTCACCCTTTCATAAATATATCTTGAGTGTTTGCTGCCCTGCCTGTTAGGCGTTCCTCAAAGTTTTTCCTTTCATGCAACATTCCTTCAAGTGAAAAAAATGTAAAACAACAGCAATAACAAAAACGGATTCTGTGTCAGGCACTAAGTTTTTAAAAAGATAAACAAAGCAAAGTAAGAGGAGAGTGAGTGACGGAGCAAAGAGATTTTTTAGCTAAGGTGACTTGTGAGTAGCAACCTGGGATAAGGTGAGAGAACTAACCACACAGATCTCTGGGGGAAGAATGTTCTATGCAGAGGGAACAATAAATACAAAGATTCCAAGGTCAGACTGTTTGCAGTGTTCAAGGAGGAGCCAGGAGGCCGGGTGGCTTGGAAGAAGTGCGCCAAGGGCGGAGTTACTCGGAAGGTCGGGTCCTTGGCCAGCAGCGGCTCCCTCAGCGCCTCTTAGGCGGTGATGTTGTCTGTGCGCCAGTAACGTGGGCGGCCACCAGAGGGCGCGCGCTCTCCGTGTGTGGAGAACAGACCGTGAGTAGGAAGGCGGCAGAAGCCCGACAAGTTAGACTCCCTCAGCACCTTGAACACCTCCTTCCCCGCCCCAACTCCCCGCCCCCACCCCCGTGTCCGTCACGACTCCAGGCCCTCCAGTCATGGCGCCTGCCCAGGACCGAGTCCAGCCTCAGAAATGGAAGTGACATGCTGTGTCTCAGATTCTGGCAAGTCCTTTTGGCCAGTTGCTCCAGCTCAGCTCGGGGCTTGCACAGGGGTGTCTCCGTAAGCTTTCCAGCCTGGAATGTGATTAAGGAAATGGAGAATGATGACATCAACTCGGATAAGCATCCTGTTCACACGTTCTCTGTGTTGGGTAAATCACTTAGCCCAGCGCAGGGCTGCTGGGGGAGTGCAAGTGGCAGGAAGCGGTTGGAAATGGGTAGAATGCAGAATTAGGGCTGACTAGGTTTGCTGAAGGATTGGATGTGGGGTGTGAGAGGAGTGGAGTCAAGAATGGCATCGCAGCTTTGATCTGACAGCTAGAATGAAGCTGTTATTACTGGGACAGGAAATGCCAGGGATGAAGGATTGGGTTTTAGACATGTTTAGTGAGCGATGCTCTTTAACCATCCAGTCTTAAGAGCATCCATCGCCTTCCGGCATCCTCACCGTCTCCCAGTGGTCTGCCTGTCCATCCCATGTTCCTCCTCCCCTGCCCCTTGTGAGGGTTCACCTCTCCCTCCTCGCCCCACCAGGCTATCTACAAGATGGTGGGCACGGTGATCATGATGCGCATGAACCAGGATGGGCTCACACCACAGCAGCGTGTGGACAAGATCTTCAAGAAGATGGACCAGGATAAGGATGACCAGATCACCCTGGAGGAGTTCAAGGAGGCAGCCAAGAGTGACCCATCCATTGTGCTACTGCTGCAGTGTGACATGCAGAAGTAGAGGCTGGTGAGGGGCAGGGCCCCTGGCCAGGAGGGGCGTGGGCTCCTCCCCAAGCAATGACCTCTCTGGCTGGCCCTTTCCCCAGAGAGAGGGGAACTCCAGCCTTACTCTTTGGCTTACCCACCCTCTGCCCAAGTTCTTACTCCCCTCAGTCAAGATCCTTGAGGGACCACCTCACCCTGGAAGTGAGACAGATCCTCAGGTATCCTGTCATCTAGCCCCACCCCCAATCTTGGCCCAGAACCCAACATCTACTGGGCGTGGGAGAGCTGGCTTTTGCCCCAAGAGCAGGGTTAAGGAAGGTGGGGCTCTGGGGTTCTGCTTTGAAATTCTGTTGTTCTTGGGATTCTTCATTATAGGATGGGGTGCCACAGACCCCAGTGAAAGGGCCAGATTGTCTTTTGCTGAGGACCCAGACCCCTTCATGCTCCCCTGACTCTACCTGGTCCCTCTGGCCCCCGTCTTTGGAGTGTTCATTCAGTCCTGTCTTCAGCTGATGTTTATTGAGCACCTGTTCAGTGCTGAGCACCTGGAGGTGCTGAGGAAGTGTTAGTTTACAAGGCAGGCACCTTCTATGCCCTCTGGAAGCTTCTAGGGCAGTGAGAAAAACTTGCGGTGGTCAGGGTGTCAGATGAGCCATGGAGCACTGCTGAGCAGAGGGTGTGGCAAGACAGGTCAAGTTGAGGAACTATTAAGTCTTTCAACTCCGCTCCATGAAGAGCTGCAGAAGGATGAATGAAAGTGTTTGGAAGTCTAGGAGCTGTCTGAGTGGGACTTTTAAGAAAAATTGAAATTATGTAATAGTTATATTTTTTGGTACCCTTTAAAAGAGCTAAAGTCAGTTTATTAGTTTAGGATATCAAAACATACTTTATATTTCTTGGTTTCTTATGAAATGGTTACCTGAATATAGGAAATGCCGATTTTCAGGAGGGGAAAGAGCTGAGAATAAAAGGGGAAGAATACCTTCACGTTTGCCAGTTAATTCTTTTCCTTATCAGGCCAAGTCCTGAGCTGTCATCATCAGCAGATTCTGCTGCTTTTGCTGCTTCCTTTTTAATGATCTTTTTCAATTCGGTGAAAAAGATCCACTTACTGTGGTCGGGCGCTGACATCAGACACAGAAAAAAACAGGTTTGCTGAAAGCAAGACAAGTGTATTTCCCATATCTTGGTAGTTCAGTCCTGGATTTGGTCTGGTTTCAAGGAGGAACTTACTCTTTCATTGCTATGGAGGCGGAGGACTGGAAGAGGACCGCCTGGCCGCTGTCTGGGCTGCCAGGCTGCATTTATGGGCCAAAAGCCTAAAAATGTGCTGAGCGTGCTCCGTTGGAAACACTTTTTCTAATCCCATGCCCTAAATTTGCCAGGTAATTCATCATCTTCCAAGTGCACTGGCTTTGCTTTCTAATTTTGGATTCATGGCTATACAGCTGCATGCTCTATCAGAAAAAGTAATCTTGCTTCTTCATTGGGTCTTCACGCTGCTTTCTCTGGCCTTGTGATCAGAAGTTAGCTTTGCTCTGCAGTGGCTTCCTCTTGAACTGCTGGTGACAACAGTCCAGTACAGAGGTGCTGTCCACCCAGGGTGGGAGTGGAAGTGGCTGCTGAGTCAGGGTGCGGGTTGTATCTGCAGAAAAGAGATACAGTTTCCTCTCGCTTCTGAGTGCTCACCTGTCCACCCTCTCTGTGGGTGGAGACTCTGGGGACGCTGACCTTGGGTCCCAAGCTCTACTGGACTTCTTCCTCTTGCTGCCCTTGGAGGTAGCCAGGCCACTGGGTTGCTAGCCTCTTTCTATCTTTCTACCTATGACCAGCCACATGGTAAGCCTGGGGAACTCACATCCTCAGGCAGCAACCAGCAGATTTTTAATCCAGTAACACCTCAAGGGATGTTCCATCGTTCTCAGGAGATGGCTGTTAGGTGTGTCTGAGTCAGTTGTACTCCAGACATCGATGCATAACAGCCTGGCTTAGCTGAGATCTGATGGATGGAAGACTTTTTACCAAGTGGGGTTCCCTCCTCACATGTTGAATCTAACTTTATTCACAATCACACAGAACTTCACGGCTTTCAAAGGCTTGCTGTTTACCCATCTCACCCTAACCTCACCGCCTAGGGAAGCGGGGGTTTCCATTTCCCTCCTCCAGTCTCGGGGACCTGCAGCCACATGCTTCAAGGCAGAGGTGGCACAGGGCAGCGCCTTGAGCCTCAGGCTCTACGAGGGCTCCTTCCCTTTGCAGCCTCGTCTCTGATCATTTCTCTGATGCAGAGCAGTGCAGAGGTCAGCTGTGGGGCAGACTACGTAGATTTGGGTCTTTTACAAACTTGCTGTGAAGAAGTTTCTGGGGCTGCGGTCTCCAAAAAAGGAACTGGAGCCGAAAGGCCCCACAATTCCTGTGGGTAATTCTGCTTTCTGGACGGCTCTGCTGAGGGGCCTCTCACTCGAACCTGGGAGCCTGCTGCACTGTCTTCACCTCCTTCCGGTCTAGAGAAGTGTGTTTGTTTTCCCAGCTGGCGGGAGTCCTACTCAAGAGGGTGTGTTTGACTGCTCCAAGCTTTCAAACACACCCATGAGTGATATTTGTTGAGTGGGCCAAGGATTCTGACAGCCCAGTGGCGTGAACACATAAACCAGGTCAAAGACTGGGGCCACCATCTTACACATGGGAGGAGCCCAGGTGGGCCAGGCCTTGCTCCCACATAGTCTAGAGTGTCCAGGGGACTGTGACCTCTGCAGCCTCTGTGGTCGAGCAGCTGCCCGCCTTGAGAAGAGAGGCACACCTCTTGGTCCTGCCCCACCAACAGGGCCTTGATACAGAGCCCCAGGCTGGTAGAGGTTGATGAGTGACTTGTTATAGACGCAACGATACACAGATGGGTGAAACAGTAATGTATCCCAAACCCTCCTTTGAAGAAACTTGAGGTTCCTGATTCTTCTTGCAGCAACTCTGTGAATGTCAAAGTCCCAGACTCTGCCTTCTCACCAAATTCTGTCCTAATTCCGCCTTTTCGGCTCATCGATGAACCCATTCTTTATCGCTACAATTATCAGCAAGGAAGGACTATGTTGGGCCTTTTCTATCCTTTGAGCCAGAGTCAGGATTCTGGAGTTTATCTTTAAGTCAACGTTTCAGCAAAGACATAAAGTTTTTTCGGACAGTAGCAGTCTCCCTAGAGGTAGAATCAGAAAGATGAAAGGGGAAGGGAGAGAAAGGGAAGAGAAGAGAAGGAGCTGGAGTTTCCAGTCAGGATAGTAAGCTGACACTGTAAATATTTTTACACAAAAATGTATTAAAGCAACAAGTATTTCCTGAAGATCCACCTTGGGTGAGGCTTCGTGCTGACTTCGTGCTGATCACTGCGTGGGCAAGAATACATTTCTTACATATTTTATTCATCATTTTTGAAAAGTAATTCAAGTCCTTCCATTGAAGTCTCAGGAAAAGAGAGGATTTTCTTCCTGAAATTTTCGGGCTTTTCTTCCATCTTTGCCAGAGTGTGGAGGCAGATATGCACCCCCTTCCTGCCCACCCCCCCCCGCCCCCCGTACAGCCTCCTCTGCTTAGTGGGGGCTAGAGAAAGAAGTAGAGGTCTGATGAAAAGGGCAGGGGGGGTGGGGGGTTGAGGGGCTTCCCACTCCTCCTCCAGCCTGGCACCCTGGTCCCCTTCAGTACGCTGCCCCTGGCTGTGCCCGCAGTGACTGTCCACACTGTCCCGCCCTGTGCTGTGTGCCATTTTGATAGAAATAAAAGGTGTGACTGTGCTCAGGCTTCTGCTCTTCCTAAGCCGGAGTAGCCGGGCCAGGGGAAAGGACAAAAGGCCCAGGAGCCTCCTTGGGGCTGAGATCTTCCTAGCAAGGTGCTAAAGGGGCGCTGTTCTCTTCCTGGGTGGGGAACAGTGGCACTGAGGAGCTAGCTTGCACCTGAAACGCTCAGTTGCATTTACAAGGGTTTTCTCAAGGACACTTGGAGGGGACTGGCTCCCTTGGCAGGAAGCAATTAGGACACAGGAAGGAGGCTGACCTGGCCTCAGGGCTACGGTGACCCTAAGGAGGTGACTCCCTTGAGAACTTGGGCCTGCTATTCTTGCTGAGGCTACACTGGGGGCATGGAAGTCCTGTCCCAGCATGCCTGGGGTCCCGGACACAGTTCTCCCACTCAGGTCTTCATCCGCTCTAGTCCCCCCCCCACCAACCATGAGTCTACCTCCTGCACGTAGCCTTGCTCTCTGCCCCATCCAGCTGCTGATCGCCAGAATGGTTTTCCTAAAGCACAAACCTGACCAAGCCAATTCTTCAAAGTGCCCCGGCTTTTCTCTGTATAATAAACTTCTGAAGACTCAAGGCCAAGGCCCTGCATGATTCGCCACCCGCTGACCTCAGAGGCCTGGTTCTTCCCCTGCCTTCAACCCCTGCAGCCTGCACTTGAACTACCCTGGGTTGCCCTCTCCCCATTTCCCTAAGCAGATTGTAGCTGGCTGTGTTCACATACTAGTCACTGCCCCCCTGGGCCACCCACTCCCCTCATTGATGATCTCCTCTGAAGCCCTCCCAAACCCCAAGGGATTGATACTTAACACTGGCCTCAGTTTCCCTCAGCCAATAAAAGGAAACAGAGTTTGAGGAAAAGGAAGGTGGTTTAATTTGTCAACAAATGAGGAGGGCAGCAGACTCAGGTCCGAAAGACCACTGTCTTGCTCTTTGGCAGGGTGCAGGGTTATTTATACAAAGGGGAGAGAGGGGGTCCATGAGCAAGAGTCTGCAAAGGGGAGGGGAAAGGTGGACACAGAGAGACTGGTGGATGCCAGTTTGCTTTTTCAACAACTGCGTTTAACTCCCTTTTCCTGGAATGCAAGATGAACCCATCAAACAAGGGGGGGATTGCAAAAGATAGGGGGAAGGCAAACTTGTTAACACTTATCCTGGAGACCAGTCTAATGTAACACCTCAATGTTGTATAGCCCATCAAGGTTACCAAACAGTCTTCTACATGATTCCATCAGCTCAGGTTCTAAGTCTCCTTTTTATTTAATTTTAAAGGTGAAATGCAGGCTCATAGAATGGTAAAGCTGGTTTCCTCCCATAAAGGTCACCATTAATTGTGACTTCTTGAACTCTGGGAGAAAGACTCTGAATCAGCATATGGAAAGGGAGCAGGCAAGCCCTCAGCTACTTCAGAGGAAGGGTCTTGCCTGGTGATGGGCAAGGGGGGAGACGGGCCTGGAGGAGGAGGGTACAGGTGAAGTGGGAAGGAAGGGAGGGATGGCCTCATGGGTGAGTGGCATCTGTGCAGGCTTTTGCGAGAGACAGCCACAGGGCCAGGTATGCTAGCTTAGGACCTCCAGGGCATCAGTGCAGGCGCTGGGGTTCTGGAGTCAAGCTGGAAGGGTTCTGTGCCAGCTTAGCCACCCAGGGATGTGCCGAACTGCAGGAAAATCCTGGGTGAAGTGCAGGAATGCAGAGACCCCACAATGCTGGCACCAGCACCGCACCCAGCACCCAGGCAGCCCTCCGGGAGTCACTGAAAGACAGAGCCTCAGAGGGGAAGAGTGCTCTGACATCCACTTCTCTCCTCACCTTCCAACTTAAGGGAAGTCGTTAGTGAGCCTGAACCAGGCGAGGCCCTCTCCTGCCAGTGTGCTGGAGTAGTGGAGACTTTCAGTACAAGGGAACAGAACTCAGCTCCAAGGAGCT